CCAGACACGTCTAATCAGGAACGGACAGTTTCTACTGCGGATACCACTTTCTAGAGGCATGGGCCAATTTACTCGTAAATTAATCGTGACTATTTAACCCGAACAACTTTTCATCCTTCCATCAATTTAAGCTCTCGACCAACTCAAGGTTGCAGAGAATGGAAAAGAGACTCTCTCGAAGACATTTCTAAAAATCTCAAGTTTATTCGGAAACGGATTCAAAATTTCCGCAAGAGCAAGAGTTTGTTGAAATGATCGATACAATTTTGATACTTGGATAATTGGATCGTTTACATAACGATTAACGTAATCATCCGTCGATTTATGATGCAAATCCTCTGGGTTGCGCAACGGAACGACGGAGGATTGAAAAAAAAAAGAAAGAAAAAAAAAAAAGAAGAGGAAAAAAGGTCGATACACCGAAAGAGAACTTTGTTCGAAAGCCTCGAAACGAAACGCAACATTGTCGTCCTCCTTTCCCTTTGTTTCACTTCACCGAAACCCGGCTACGACACAAGGGGCATGGCTGGCAAGGTTGCTAACCACCGAGGAACGCGTGGGCGAGATCGAGCCGACATCGAGGGAACAACTTCGAAGCTTTTATGTCGTCGAGGCGAAATCATAAATAATACTCGCCGGATTATCGGCGTTGCACGCGCTGCGTCGTACCCGACCAACGTACGACGAAATGTTGTCGACAAATTAATTCTGCCAGCGCGGACGGCGCAAGCGCCACGAAACGCGAAGCTCGATGAATAATGAACGGTGTTGGTTGTCAGACCGAATGAAAGTAACATTGAAAACGATTAAGCAGCGAGGAAACCGAACTCCGCTCGCTCTTATGTATATCGTTTTACCACCTTTCACCGCACCTTCTCTTCTCCTTTATCCTCTCCTTATCTCCCTTCGAAACAAAATTTTCGAACAATCTTTCGTTTAAATTCTCCTCAAACCATCCCTCTTCCCTGCATTCCATTACTAATTTTACAAAATTCAATCGACAATCGACAACGACAGATTCGAGAGAATTTAAAACTACGAGAAAGAGAAAAAAGAACGTGATAAAATTCTCTCTAAGGAAAGTAATCCAGTCTCATCGCTTCAATTTAAAAAATACGAATACTTAATTCCATAAAATTAAGACGATCCAGAATCCTCCGTGATTAATGTTTTTTTCAATTTCTCGAACGAGACGCGGCCACTCCCGATCCACGGCCGAGGACAATTAACGAAGGGTTTCGAAGCGAAATTTTCCCGCGATTTCTCGATCGAGGTTTTTATCGTCACTTTCGATCGGCGCCGAGAGAGCGAGCGTGTCGTACGCGCCGCACAGATTTCACGACGGAGGTAATTACAACGTTACAGGGGCAACGACGTTCTTTCGACGTCGGGGCAATTAACGCCCCGATGACAGGAGCGAGATCCAAGAAGAGGATCCATCGTCCGGCCGAAAATTGCACGCTGGATACCTGTCGATACACACGTCGACCCCCCTTCCCCCAAAAATTTCCGGTATGAATTTAAGTATCCCGGGGGTACTTTATCTCTGGCGGTGCTTAAAGGAAGGGACCAGGCGCCGTAATTAAATGCCGGCACCTCTTGGCCTCGTTATCGGCAGAGACGATCGATGGCCTCGTACCAAGGAGACGCACCTTTGGAAGGACACCGAGGATCGACGGGGATTTTTCTTCTTCTTGTTATCCCCTGCTCTTCACCATGCCCTCTCGTCCACTTCTCTCTTTCGACTGGAACAGGGAACGTTCCGAGGATCAAGATCGTGCGAAATTTCGAAAAAGGCTTGAGGAGGAGCTTGAGAAAAAAAAAAAAAAGGGTATCCTCGAAGGGAGGACTTTGCAAAGCGAAGGAGGATTAATTATATGAAACACTTATTTTTCTCTCTTTAGCTTCCTTTCGACTCGAACGAATGGTGGAAGGTAAAGTGGATCGAGATCGAGGAAAACGCGAAGAGAAAAAGAAGAAATACGGTAACGAAATGAGAGGAGAAGGAAGAATCTTCTTGTTCTTCTTCTTTTTCGCTTCTTCCGCCTCGAAGAAGACAGAAAATTAAGATCAAGAAAATCAAAAGTTAGAATGACGTTTCTTCGTAAAGAAAGAGACAAAGTATCTTTATTCTTTCTCGACTAAAAAGAAGTTGAAACAAGAGATTCGTTGCAAGAACGATCCATTCTTGTGGAGAGAAACAAAGAAAAACTTGAAAAACTATCCTCTAAAGGAAACTCTGCAAATTAGCAAAAAAAAAAAAAAAAAGAAAGAATTAATTATATAAGGCATCGAGAAACGCGCAGCACTTGTCAAAACACGTGCGGCAATTAATCGCGGAAAGAAATAAGAAATAAAAATGGCTCGTCGAATTTGAATGCCCCGCGACAGTACACCACCAGTTCATTCTTTTTTCCCCTCTCTGCTTCGACGACTTGCTGTTTCTTCTTCGACCCAAAAGAAAGAAAAAAGAGGAGACTTGCGTCACACAAAAAGAAACGATTGAAATCTTCCCTGGTGCCTGACAACCCGGCCAGGGACGTGGTCCGTTCGGGTAACAAGTGGCGATCGGTTATACGCGTTCCACAAACGGTATTTACCACGCCGCAGGGACGCATTCGACTCTCCAAGATGTCCAGATAGAACGACCGACGCGGATCAATTAAATTAATTAACGACTTCGTTTACACGTCTCTTCGATTCTACTCGTGGAAAAATAACGAAATAAGAAAATCTCGACTCCTTCCTACGGACATGTTCATAATTACCACACACTCAAAATATTAAAATATATCAAATGAAATTTTCGGAATATCTCGAACACGAGATTGAGCGAGACAGTTCGCGCTCAAATAAAAGAAAAGAAAAGAAAGAAAAAGTATTAAAAATCGAATCGAAATTTCCTTTCGAGAAAGAATATACCTGGACGACTGAGAGAGGAACGCGGGACACGATGAATGCGGCCCTGGAGGCGCACTTATGGTACACGTAGGTGAATGTCGGGAGAGAAATCATACCGGCAAGGACGACAGCGAGGGGAGAGGGTGACCGGGGGAAAAGAGGGACACCACCACGCCCGACTCATCCCGACTTTCTAGAAACCGAAAACTGGATCGTGGCATGTGGATGTCGAGAGTACCGAGAGCTTGATTCACGTAACAGATGTCAGTCTTTAAGGATCGTGGATCGTGCCCCGCCTTTTCTTATTCTTCTTCTTATTTCGAGCGGCGTTCCACGTAGCCGGCTACCGTCTCCCGAGGACATTACTCACCTCACAGAAGTCGGTCTTCTTCTCCCCCGCCGCCAACGGGAGAAACTCCACCATTCGGTGGAGATGAACCGCTGCCTCCTCGCAGCGAGGAGGAGGAAACGAAATTCCGAGAGAAGGAACAAAACGTCCCGAAACGGAGTTAAGTTACAGGAAATCTTGGAAGGGAGCTCGAACTCGAAACTCGTCCTCTCGATTCCATCTTCCACTAGAGTCGTTAAACCAACAACGAGCCCGTCGTCAAACTATTCGAATTAACGACCGAGAGCCTCGTAAAACCAGCGCCATTAAGATCTTGTGTTATCTTAAGATCTTATTGTTGGTTACGTGTGCCTCTGTGGATAGTCGTTGCATTGACAGAAGTTAAAGCCAACAGTATCCATACATATATACAACAATTGTACGCACATAGTATAGAATTTGCACTTATCGATGTACCATTTATCTGATAAAAAAAAACAGCTGTGATATTAATTATTTGCGAAAATAATTCAGATACGTACTAACGAATACGTACCATGGATATGGCGAACGATCGCGGTGTAGATCGGCCTTTACGTAGAAAAATCTCTTTCTCCTGTCTCCGGATGGGAAGAAGGGAAAGTACGAAATGTAAATCAGGCTTAATCAACGACATCTAGACGAATGACACGTTACCTGTGTATATATATATATATCGATTCCGTGTTCGATGCGAGAAGGAGAGGAGAGAACGGCCAGCGGCCATCTTTTATTGTTGGAATTCAGAATTGGCGGCTTTCTCGCTGTAATTCCGGTAATAAAGGCTAGGAGTGTTATTAAAGAAGCTCGAGGAGAGGAGAACCGTTTTCCCGGCGAGGAATTTATCTCGTTTTTTGCACGCGACGATAGGTCTTAACGGACGAAAACCGTTCGGCCGTTCTGGATCATCGGTCGCAACGGTGTTCCTTCCAGTGTTTCTACGCACTTTCGATTCCAACCGGACGCTCCTCCGGTCCCTCGTCACGTTCCACGCACGCACACACACGCACACGCACGCGCACACATACATACACTCGTAATTAACGCTTTTCACTATTGTCGGTCGCGAGCTTTTTGCTCCTGCCGCTTTTACGCTTAGAGCATTACGGGTTCTTGCACCGAGGAATGGCAACTCCTCCCCACCAATCACGTTCCTCCGTCCCTCCAACCCTGTCACGAGTTGATTTCTCTTTCGTTGGAACTGTACGACCGACCAGCTGAGGATTAGGTTCTTCGGTAACTGGATCGACTTGCGGGAAACGACACCGGCTGTGAAAGGAGTTCTTGAATTAGCGAGACGTTCCTCCATAGGGAAACTCGATTTCCCGTTAATATTATATAAATCGCTTAATCCTATTGAGAAATCCTTCATCGCGTTCGACTTTGATCGTTACTATTGTTATTACCATCGTCATCACCATTGAAAACATCAAAATTTTTAATGTAACATATCTACGTTCGAACAAACCTTCTATCTGGCATTGAAATCACCGCTCGCGTATCATCGCTCGTGCGAGCGTTTGAGTCTCCAATCCGATGTCAACAACGTTTCGTTAAATTCTTCCGACCTTTCTCTCAACAATTAATAATATATTACGATCTAATAATAATAATAATAATAATAATAATAATAATAATAATACACGTTCGAAAGTATAATTGACGAACGATCAAACTCGTGTTCGATGGAAAAAAAAAAAAAAAAAAAAAACTTGTCGATGGAATTTTTCAGATCATCCGGAGCGACGAGCAGGAGCAAAGCCGAGGGTGATAGAAGCGGGTGTGATGAGCGGATATCTCGGTAACATCCCCCTGCCCCCAACATTGTTGCACGACCCGAAGTATCCTCCAGCCATGCGGGAGAAAGACTCGAGTCCGAGAAAAATGCCGGGCCACATAAGCCCGAAGCAAGCTAGCATCTATCCTCTGAGCGTCCGTGTCCCCGATGTGGAAGAATTGCCTTACGACCTGAGCCACGGCCACGGCCGAGGCCTGTCAAGCCCCACCAACCAGCAACAGCACAGGCAGCAACAGCCTCACATGAGCCCAGCCGCGAGGCCGCCCCAATCTCACCACCAGGAGGATCTCGACTGCGAGCCGTTGGATCTCCGCGTCGATCACAAGAAGGAAAGATTAACGGACGAGAATCAGAACGAGATCGAGGTTCTGAATCAGAACAGTTTAGGGGGAGGCCTGCCGTATCACACGGTATTATTTCCCCAACATCACACCGTCCACCCGTTGGTCCTCGAGGCCATGTACCGGTCCCATCATCACGGCTCGTCGGTTCCCGACCTGCCCAAGATCCAGGTGCGAGCTCTGCCCACCATGGTACCGTTACCGCCCAACAGATTCTCTTCCACCGCGTCCTCCGCGTCCTCCGTTTCCTCCCAGGCCGCGGCGAGGGTCCCCAGCCCCTCCCCGGGCGGGCAGCAGCATCAACCGCCCCAACAACAAAGTCACTCGAGTCAGCAGCAGCAGCACCAGCACCACCAGCACCACCAGCAACAAGCGTCCGCTATTCCGCCGTATTCAATCAGCGTGCAGGCAGGCCTGAAGCCGAAGGACAGATACTCGTGCAAGTTCTGCGGTAAAGTGTTCCCCAGATCGGCCAATCTGACGCGGCACCTGAGGACTCACACGGGCGAGCAACCGTACAAGTGCAAGTACTGCGAGAGGAGCTTCAGCATCTCGAGCAACTTGCAACGTCACGTGAGGAATATTCATAACAAGGAGAAACCGTTCAAGTGCCCGTTGTGCGAACGGTGTTTCGGGCAACAGACCAATTTGGACAGACACTTGAAGAAGCACGACGCCGACGGGCCAACGATACTCGACGAGGTCAGATCGAGGTATCACGGACAGTTGCCGAGAGCGGACGAATCTTACTTCGAGGAGATTCGCAGCTTCATGGGGAAGATCACCTCCCAGAGACAGGGGATACCTTATTTCCCTGGATTGTTGGGGCACGGTGGGGACGAGTTCAGGAACGACAAGCAACAGCTCCAGTTGGAGGAGAAAAGAGGCGACTCTTCCTACTTCAGCGACAGGGATAATCTGAGCTCGAGGTCGAGCAGCACCGCGAGCAGACCCGAGAGCGTCCAAGAGGAGCAACGGGAAGTTAATTCCCCTCCCCTGTCACCTGGAAACAACACTTGAGTCAGGGAATCGTGATCGTACGTTCGATGAACGATTTTCGTCGGGTACGGTTAAGTGGAGAGATCGATGCGCTTCTTCTTCGAGAAGTTTTTTTATGGACCTATTTCTTCTTCTTTTCTTTTTCTTTTTTTTTCTCTTTTTTTTTTTTTTTTTGTGAGAAGAGATAGATCGAATTTTCCCTCGCAAAGATAAAACGTAAATCTTATGAATTTGTTTTTTTTTTTTTCTGCATCGAATGAATTTCGAATTTTCCCCCGAATTCGTTTCACATTCCCAATGAAATAATTTCGATATCTCGTGGTATTCGAGTTCTTCGATCTTTAGTCGAAAGAGGTGCCTTAAAAAAAATGTGCCTAAAATGTTCGAAGTATTTGCAATGCAAAGTTTACTGTTACGATTAAACGAAGTTAGATGGCAAGCAGATATTTTAATATTGTTATACGTCAGCGTGCGTTTTGATTAATTAGGTATGTAAATGAATTTTTTATTATAAAAACAAAATGCCGTTTGATCTTTTTTTTTTATAATAAATTCAATAATGTCACGATCTATAAATAAAAGTAATACTTCTTTGAATAGAAAATTAATTTATATGCCTAATAAAACGCGTGAAACCGTCGTTGTTCGTAAATTAATCGTCGAAGGTATTAATTTATCCAATTAATTCGGATAAAATTATACACGATTCTTTAAAGTTAAAGTTACTCTCGTTCCCATCTTCGTAATTCGAAGATTAATTTATCGAACGTTTGTGATAACAAAAGACACGGAACATTAACGATTATTAGCGCGAATTGTCAAATTGAAAATATTTTTATCGTCTTTATCTCTTTTCTCGTCAAGCCGTTAAAAAAAGAAAAAAAATAAAGAACAAAGCAAAAGAAAGAATCGTTTCATCATCGTCATCTTATTGGATCGTTCCGATTGAAGCGGAAGATCGTTTCGTCAAGGAAGCAAAATCGTCGAGGAGGAAAGAAGGAAAAAAAAAAAAAAAAAATAGCAGGAGAAAAGTCCAAATAAACGTCCAAATAAATACGTTCCGGATGGAAAGGATAGCTGAAAACGACGCTTAGCGATTTTACGACCTAGAAAGTGAATGTCAACCACTCCATCGCCTCGATCCCGATCCACGATACCGATCGCCGATCCACTGACGGCAGACAATAAAATAGAAATCGATGGGCGGATCTGCGGGTTTGTTAATCGGCCGCCACGAAATCGTCCTCGGCCGGAAGGAAACTTTGCGACACGAGCCATTAAATTCATCATTTGAGCAAGTCCGCGATGAAATATCTTCTTAGTAGCTTCGAAGAAATAGTTTCCGCGAGGCAAGTGATTATTAGAAAAACCAATTATCTTGGAATTCGATATTAAAAATTCGGTATTGGTAATTCGATACATGTGAAAAATTCAATATCGATGCGAAACCTAAAATTAGAAAATAACTCTAAAGAATTGGAGAATCACAAAATCAAAATAAAAAAAAACTTGGAAAAATTAAAAAATTAGAAATCCAAAGGTTGAAAAATCGAATATCCACGATTGGAAAGTAGCGATAAAAATCGAAGAAATCTAGAAATCAAAAATTGCAAAATCAAATATCGAAAAGTAAGAGAATTGAAAAAATTCGATTAAAAAATTTTATTAATCCTAAGAAATCGAGAAACTCGATCGTTCAAAGAACGAATCTCGCGTCGGGTATAGCATCGAACGCGGTGGGAAAGCACGCAGGAAAAGCGGTTTCCTGTTGCGGACGATTACCAGAAAGATCCGGATGAAACACGGATAAAGATGCTCATGATCTCGCACAATCCCTCTCGTTTCCTTTGGATGATCGTTGAAAACTATTCCCCCCGGGGCGAAACGATTCGATCGATCGATCGCCTTCCGCTCGTGGCCACGCGAGAATTCGCCACTTTCTAATCGGCGCGAGTGCGGTACGGGTGGCGCTTCGACCTTGGGAGTAAGCGGCTTCGATTAATTACGATCCGATTTAGATCGGCACGACGAAAGGAAACACGGCGAACTATCGTTCAGATGCTTGTTAAATTGGCACCATTGGATTACGTGGACGATTCGTAATCGGTTACCCAGAGACCCATCTCGGATGGAAAGTTGGATTGGTTCCTTGCGATCTCGATTGAATGAAATTTCGTGCCAAGTTTTCGCGTCGAGCAATGGAGCACTATTGGATCGCTCGGCGAGAACGGGATTATTATCAAATTGTACCAAAGAAATCGAAGCGAGGCGAAAAATTATCGATCGAGAAGAATATTTAAATAAAGGAGAAGAAGAAGAAAAAAAAAAGAAATCGAAGGACGCAAATTAGGCAAAAGGTAAAAGCGAAAGGGAGTATATCGAATCGACCACCGGCGATTTATTTTATACTTTCTACCGTGTATATATAGAGACATTCACCGCAAGTAGCGCAGGTGCAGAGTTGCAGGATGGCATCAAGCGGTCAGGAGATCATCTTGACCTTGGTGAATCCGATCGATTGTGCGGCTGAGGCCGAAAGCGCGTCGGGGAGAGAATCTGGGCGTCTTCTCTCCCAGAAGAAATTCGCAACACACCGAGGATGTTCGTCGGCAGATTGGTCCAAGGTGGTCTGATCGGTGACGCGTGAGAAACCGATTTGCGCTTTCTAATTTGGAATGTCGGCGATTTTCTAAATTACAGGAGCAGCCGGTTAGATGAAACGCCGCTAATCTCGATAGGCGGATAAAAATCTGCTATCGCGATACGATATGGAAAAAATGGAACGAAAAAGAGATCGAGGCTTTGCTACACGTCGATACGTGAAATTAATTCAAATTAAATATTCGCGCTATGAATATTAATATCGAACGACAAGATAATCAAATAGTCGAACTACTCGAATAATATAAGAAATTGGCAATGAAATATTCGATGACATAAAATTTCAAAACCTCAAATCAAAATCTGTGTGCAGCATCGAGGAGAGAATTCGACGCGATTCGTAAAGAGGGAAAGAGAGAGAGAGAGAGAGAGAGGCGGTGGTGTTTATTTCGTTGCATCGGTGCACTCCTTATCGTGTAACCAGAGGATCCAATATGGCGGCAATTACGCGTCCACACGAAATCCATTTTAAGAGCGAGCCGATTTCGTAAGGAGACCGATGCAACACCGTTACGAGGACGTGGCCCGAGGTGTGACTAAGCATCCAGTAGATATTCTCTCTCCTCCAGCGTGGCGATACGCGAGAAGCCACTCGGGAGGAGGATGGCAGGCCCTGTTTTTCTTGCCTCACGCATACGATCCGATGGCCTCGGACCTCTGTTGTTGCGTTACACTTTTGCCACGCCCCGATCGGACGGGCAAACTCATCGCGAAAGTGAAACGCAATAAAGGAGCCACGCCGGAGCGAGAGAGCCTCGACATCCATGAAACGGCTCAACGGAGAGGCTACACGCCCGAGAGAAGGAACGAGAGGAGCCGGCCGTTCTGTATCCGTGATGCGGAGAGAGAACGGTGGACGAACGAGGTGAATGAGAAAAGAGAAAGATCGATCGAAATCTCAAGGCTTGGAAATCGGTTTCCTCGCCACCTACCACGGCAGTCGTCGATCCGCGACCGAATGTAGGTATCTTCTCGACCGAAATTCTCAGGCTGGCTTTGGCTCGTCGTTCCCATTGCCGATGTTACTCCTTAAAATAATGTGTTTACAGTTCGTTTCATTTCCAAAAATTGAATTTGAACTCTTATGCCAATAGCGATTACATTTTTTTTTTTTAATATGAATGAAAATGGAACCCTTTTTTACATCATAATTATTTAGAATATTTGCTATCGATTTTCAAATGAATAGATTATATATGTGTGTATCAGAAGTTGAATGATATGGTTAAAAAGTCGAAAATATTGAGTATCGGCATAAGAATTACATTATACAACGTCAATAGCGTTACATAATCGATTCGATTTAGTGGAAAATATTATCTTCGTGCTAAGCAATTCGTGGAAGCAGTTCCATAATAGAAAAAAGAAAAAAAAAAAGCCGCGAAATTTCTCGGGGAGGGATCTATCCGCGAAATCACGGCACGTCCGCTCGCTTTTTCGATCTCATCTCGTTCCAGTTTGCACGCGTGATTTCACTGGACGGGTCAGCCTGATTCAAATTACGACAGCTTGTTGTTACGAGACCGGAGGAAGAAGCGTCGTACAAAAAAAAAAAAAAACACAGATGCGTACATTTCTGAAATGTAGAGAAAACTCTGTTAGAAATTTATGTGAAATTCAAATGTGAAATTCAAATCACAGTTGAAACTCCATTTATATGAACGAAATTTTAATATCTGACTATTTGAACTTTAAGCTCTCATTTTTAGAAAAATTCGAAATTACGGAACAAACAATGAAATTACATGTAGATGGAGTTCCATATATACTTACTTATTTATCTTTCCATTTTAAACATTTGACGATTAAATCCCTATACAAATGTTTTTCTTCATTGTACATACGTATTCAACGAATCGAATCACATATTAGCGGAAATATAATATAATATTTGTACCTATAACTGTTAGAATTTGAAACGAGGCTCAATTTAGTTAGTCGAAATCATCGTAAAGATATTATCGCGTATCGACGAGTTTCTCGAGATTCTCTGCCACGCTTGCCTACTTTTCTTCTACGATTAAACTGCGACGTAATTTAATTTGTAATATAAAACTTTCGGCCAAAATGTTTGTTCTTTCACAATCAAATTAATATTATTAAATTTTACAAGTGACAAATAACGTTGAACTCGTCGATGAGCATACTAATCCCGCGAAGAATCTCATCTAAATATCCGACGAACGAGTCCAACTCGAAATAAAGAGTTCATTAAATGGACGAAGACATTGTCGATTTCAACCCTAAAAGATATCCATCGTTAGGGTCGACATATTTCACCCTAAAGCAAATGTTTTCACGCAACTTTCTTTTCTTTTTTTTTTTTTTTTTTTAAAGATAGCATTTAAGGATTAATATCGAAATCGAGGGGGTGACGTTTACGCGCGTCCCACCCCCCTCCGCGATTAAATTAGTCAATCGTGCGCGAAGTGTACCAAGCGGATCGTAGAAAAGAGTACCGTTTTAATTTTGATACATAGTATACATAGAGATCTATATGCAAAAATCGATATAAATATAATATATACATATGTGCGTGCGTGTGTATGTAAATCGTACGACGATTGTGATTTCACCGAGGTTACCGAGTTATACGTATTTACTGTTTAGCCAACAAACAGCGGCGCCTTAAGCCGATCAAGCTATCAAGCGCTCGTTACCTTTTAGACCCGTTAGCTCGTAAGTTTGTCCATCCACGCTCAGTTTTGTCTTCTTTTTTTTTTTTTTTTCTTCTTTTATCCGTTTTTGTTTTTTTGTTTTCACATACATAGTCAAATTGCCGATCAATCGAATCGAGTCGAATCGAATCGAAAGGATCGTCGTCGCTTCGAGATCAACATCCCTTTCTAATGTCTAATTATTCATCTTTCGTTTTTAGAGATTATTATTGCATCGAGTGAATAATGCTCGTCGATGATCTCGTTGCGACGATAAAATTATTCGTTCTTTTTTTTGCGAATGATTTTATCGTTCGTCGGTCCTTTTTTTTTTTTTTTACTCCTAAAAAGAAACATACACTGTTTAACCCTGTAGTCGCGCGTCCTGTAGAATATAGTGGTGACTGTATATATGTTTATATGTAATATTCGAATTAAAAAAAATATATATATATATACATTGATGTACACAAAGAGAGAAACGAACTTACACGTGGAAATTCATTTTAAAGAAACTCTCATCGTACTTGCGTTTACTTTCTCCGCTCTCTCACCGCGTTCTTGCCCGCGTCATACCTCTCTCAATCTTCCATTAAACTCCCCATTTTTGTATCCCTACGAGTTTTTCGGCGATAGTGCAAACATGTTGTTAAAAGAAAGTCGCCTAGATTCCGAGAATGGTTCAAGAGGATGAAGAAGTTTTAATTGATCGAAATCCAGTTATCTTTGTTGGAGAAATGTAATATTTATTATTATTAGTGTTACAAAATTACTCGTTCATCTTTTTTTTTTTTTTATACTTAAAATATTTTCTAATATTTTAAATACCGTTACCATGCATCATTTTGTGAAACAATAGTTTATTTTACGTATATTTTACCAGTCAGAAATTCAAGTTCTTCTTCAAAGATGATCGCGTCTCCAGAAAATCAACGTTTCTATCCTCTACCGCATGAAAAAGGATACATTAACGTGAGAAACGGTAAGATATAACCAGGGTCATAGGTACGTGAGAACCAGAACAAACGGTGAATTAGAGAAAAACGTGACCACATGGTCAAACGGAAATTCTAGATTTTTCTTCTGTAAGTCCAATGATCTTGATTTTGATTTTTCTATCTTTCACTCATAATTATTCCGAAATATATTATTTTATCGATCATATTTCATTAATATTTAAAAAAAGTATAATATTTGGGAAAAGTTCGTTGGTTTTTCGA